AAACCCACGACCTCTTGGACATGGGCCCAATGCCTTACCAACCAGGCAATCCCGGTCTGACTGAAACGATTAGAGGAAAGACATAGACGGACTTAATGCGAAGGTAGCGTGAAACTGTTGTCTACTGGTAAGCTGGGTGTCTAATCTCTCGGACAGCTGAAAAGAAGGTTTCAAGTTCATGTCTGAAATCACTGTAGGACCTCAGTGTTTCAACGGAGTAGAAACAACACTTACTGCATGAATGTAATACTAACTTGAAATCGAAATCACCATCTTCTTCGCACCATAATCATTTAGTAAAAGGTCAACCGAAGAAAAACAACAACAGTTGTCTCGCAGTTGACTGATCGTTAGGACACGGTTCCCAGCACATCACCGAAGTCACGCATTACTGGCTGCAGTCAGTGTGCGGGTGGGTGATCACTTGGAACAATCTGCGTAGAGACCAAGGGTGTGCGGTATAGGTCCTATTTAAACTGTTCCACCGTAAAGTGCACTACCGAAGCAGGGGTGCCATCCCATCTGCAGATGATCAAAATTGTGAGGTCATGTCTTCGGATCATCCTCGGGAATGTTTTCCAGGCCCTTGTCAATAGCCCATTGTGCAGCTCTAGTGCAACGTAAATGAATTAAATCAGCAAAAACCAAGCTCAAAAAAGCTTATCTCAAAAAAAGCGAGTACTACACACCCTCTTCATCAACAACTCAACTCAAATCAACTTTGGTGGAAAGTAATCGTTATCGATATTAAGGGATGTATAATACGAAGCACGGCCTTCGCTGCTTGTGAGAATGGATAGGTACTCTGAAAAAAGTTGATTAGTTAGTTAGTTAGTTAGTTAGAATGGGAAAAAGGCCGCTAACGGCCCCCAGTTATATTTCGATGATGATCGCTGCTTGTGTGTTTTATGTAAGAGGTAGACATAATGTAGTTAGTCTCATTTTAAATACCGAGATGGATACCGTGCATAATTCTGTTTATGGATCTCTTTTTCTTGGAAGAACTATAAAGTAAGTTTTTATATTTTTTTTAACTTTTACATGTCTTTAAAAATTTTCTAGTTGTGTGGTATGCTAGTAATTGTCAATGATTTGGGATTACTTTAAGAATAACTAAGATACCTAGTATGATAACGTACGTTCTTGGAATCCTATGTGGAGGGGATGGCACCCCCGCTTCGCTAGCCCGACGACCTGCGCGCGAAGTCGAGCACTTTACGGTAGCACAGTTTAACGAGGACCCATACCGCACACCCTCGGTCCCTACGCAGACTGATCCAAGTGGTCACCCACCCGCACACTGACTGTAGTCAGCGATGCTTGACTTCGGTGATCTGCTGGGGACCGTGTCTTAACGATCAGTCCACTGCCGGACCCTAATTTTTCGTAATGGTTAGTTATAGTTATACGTGATTCTAAACACGTAATTCTTGTTAGAGTTCAACTGCAGTCACAGTTTCATTGCATCCATTGACGAACCCGCGAACATTTGTACCCGTAAAATTAGTTTAGAACAGTGTTTTTTTTTAAAACTAATGTTAAAAGTAGTTGGCAGGAATGCTCTAAACTTTTTTTTTTTTTTTGGTACTCACTGCACTACTTTTTTTTAAAAAAAAGTACACACTACTTTACAAACTGTGAAAAAAAGTGGCGACTACAGTAGTTTCACCTGTTGTAGTGCGTTATTACCGACCGCAGCTAATAACACGTATTACTAGGTTTATCCTGCACGGCATTTAAAAACTTTTAACTTTTTTCTAGGTTTTATTACTGGTTTCAATGTGTGTTGTGTTTGCTGTGGCTCAAGAAATTGTCATACCTGTTGGGATTAATGGCAACGACACTGTCACATTTATTAGAAACAGAGAAGTAGGTAATCATTTTGTTATCAACTTCTTAATAACAATAATAACTATTTTTTTTCTAGAATTTATTGATATTTTACTGACCCGTCACAATAAAATTCTGTTATATAATCGTATTGACATCTAAAAACGAAACTGAGATGGAAAAGTTACAAAATTTCATATTCTAAAGCAGTGGTTTCCAAAAAATGTTCCACGGAACCTATAGGAAGGGTCACAGGGGCTCCGAAGGTTGGAATTTTTTTTTAACCAGCAATAATTATATTTGTATCTTATCCAAAATCCGGAATTTATTTAATATATATCGGTTATTTATATTAAATTATTTAAGTAAAATGTTAATCTAAACACTAGCACAGTGGAATTAATTCTTTTTAAACTACAATACAATTATGAAAAAGATATGCAATTATAAAAAATTTAATGAATATTTATCATTTAGCTGTTCAATTCGAAATAAAGTAATCAAATTCAAGAATAAAGTATTATGTTTCTCTGATAACTATTCTCAACATTTGTAAAAGTATAAAAAGAGAGTAAATTAGTTGATTTAAAAGGAAAATTGTTTGCTATTCGTTTAGTAAAGAAATAAAACGTCAGAATGACATGAACCACTGTCAGATCGGGATGTTTACGAACCTATTCCTTCCTAGTAGCCACATTTATAAAATTCTGTGAGAAAATGGGGTAGCAAAATACAAACACGAGGAACTAACAAAATCGCTATCTAACTTTGGCGAATTACTATTAAGGAAGACTGGATTAGAAACATCAAAACCTGCTTAATTGCTGAAGAAGGTGTTTGTAACACTTCTATCTAGAGTCGTGGTGGCTCGGGGAATTCCAATGAAGTGAACCGGGTTCGAATCCTAACGACGGCTGGTCGATACGAATTCCGCATCTGGCTTACACTGACCGCAGTGCAGACTTAAAATATCCTCAGTGGTTGACGGATCATATATTAGAGTCTTTTTGCCGTCCGACTAACCGCGGGAGGTTTTCCTCTCCGTGTAACGCATATGCGGGTTAGTTCCATTAAAAAGTCCTCCAAGAAGGCAAATACTCCCAATACTTGATCTAGGAGTTCTCTTGTCTTCTGGGTTGGATTTAAAACTACAAGACTACAGAGGTGAACATTAGTAGTTGCAAACCCAAAAAATTGGGTCGGCTGTTCAACAACGGTTATATAAAATAAAGTATTAAATATCATTTCTTCTACGTTTCCTTCTGCTATCAAACAAGTTTTTTTGGTGATAGTTTGTCTCGCCCTCCATGTTAAAGACTCGTTAGATTTTGATAGTGTTTTTTTATTTCCTTATTGATTAAGTATTTTTCACAAGGGAACTAAAAATTATGTAAAAGGCCATGATTTAGAATTACTTTACTTGTTTAACGAAACTGACACTCTATTTTGCGCTTACCATTGAAAATCAATCTCCATAAATATAAACTATTTTATTTCAACTAAGTTAAATATTGATATTCGTATAAAATCTCTGCCATTAAATACTTTTGTAAGCCATAATTTGTAATTGGGGGTCATTTAAATATTCTGATTCAAATATATACTGATTTTTGGCAATTTTGAACCCCTTTCCCTATTGTGAGCAAAAATAGGCTAATAACTAATGCTTATCTGAGAAACTCTCAGAATTTTGCTTTAATTTTACAGAGCAGCGATGACTCAGTGGCACTGAACTGTCGCTGTTTAACGCGGGGGTTCGACTCCAACTTGAAGCCCAACAAAGCGATGGGTGCTAGCTTGTGTGGGAAGTAAAGGAGGTCGATGCAAAATGTTGTCTGCATTGTCGTTATAGTGATTGGTTGTCCTTGTTGCAAGAATGCTGCTGTACTTCTTTTTAATTTTATTATTGTAACCTAATTTTGGAATTAGGTAAAAATAAAAGATATAACTTAGTTTAAAATAAAACTTTCGTTTTTAAAGCATTGTTTATAATTTTGAAAAGAAGATTCGATTTTTTCTTTTTCAGAAAATTTTTCAAATTATCGAATTTTACTGTTTTGCGTAAGTATTGCTTAAACCCTTATAAACCCCCCAAAAATAAGCAAATCACAAACCCACCTCCTCCGTTTAGGAGCTTATGTATGATTCGGTCTCGCAGTGGACTAATCGTAAAGACACGGTTCCTAGTAAAACAAAGAAGTCAAGCATCACTGTCTGTGGTCAGTAAGCGGTGGGTGACCACTTTGATCAGCCTGGGTAGGGATCGAGGTTGCACGGTATTGGTCGTCATTAAACCGTTCTACCGTGAAAAGCTCAATTTCGCAAGAGGCCATCTGGCTACCGAAGCAGTTGAGCCATCCTCTCTGCAGAGGATCAAAATTGCAATGGCATGTCTTCAGGTCATTCTGATGGGCAGACCGTTGCCAATAGCCCATTGTGCAGCTCTAGAACCACCTACCTACGTATTATTCGAACGACCCTTTACCCAAATTATCCCAGTTAGAACATAAGGGAACAATAATTATACTTACTCATAAACTAATATTTCTAATCACAATATGCTAAACTTACTATACACGTACATTATCACTATACAAATATTATCCACTAAAATTACTATTACTATACTTAGGTTTTACAGGCATTTGGCAATTACGATGAAGGATATAACGAAAACCAGTTAACGGGTGGTGCCTCTTTTTACAGAGAGAAAGGTTACGCAAACGGAACCGGTTCCTATGGGTACACAACCAGAAATGGCCTCATAAGAATTGTGACATACATTGCCGATAAGGATGGTTACAGAGTCTTGACCAACGAACCTGGAGTAGGGATTCAACAATCTTCTAATCACAAAAGAAACGGAACCATCTGCACTGACTCCCGGTTCATCTGGTTCGAATAATGAATTTGCATATATGGTGGCAGCGAGTGATGTAGTAAGAAATTATGTCGTTTTGCCCAATATTCACAGATTCTCAACTCGTTGAATATGTTTGAAAACAGCTGTTAAATATTTGATAAAAAATGACAATAATAAAGAACTTGAATAAAATCCTATTCAGGCGAATATTCTCTCTTTTCTTTTTTTATGGGGGAAGGGGGACATTTTTTTCTACGAGTTCACATTCTGCCATGTAATGTTGAAAAAAAATTGTAAGTGAAAAAAATTTCGAGATTGAGATTTTTATAATCTAGGCATTTTTGTATGATACGCTACATATTGGGGGGAAAAATCTTTTTTTCCAAAAATAATTTTTTTATGATTTTGAATTCTCTGAAAATTCTATTTTGGCTTTTATAGTGCTGGGAATGGAGAGAAAATGGTAGTCAAGTCACTTTTCCTCTCGGTGCACTTACATTGCTTTTTCACTTGCACTGGGACACTATGATTGTTTAATAAAAATAAGCAATATTCAATTTAAGATGCTTGATTAAATAATGATTAAATGAAAACAACTTGAATAAAACACAAATAAAGGTACAGAAATGGACATACTATAGGTTCTGTAATTTGAAAAAGAACTTTTCCCGATGTCTAAACACCAAATAACAGTAGTGACTGTCATTTGGTATTTGGACACTGAGGGAAGTTATTGACTATGTCTATAGAACCATATTTCTTACATATAATAATATTACATATAATAATATATATATCTATAGAACCGAATATATATATATATATTGAAAGTATTTTAATTTATTTTTCAAAATTTCTTTAAAAAAAAAGAAATAAAAGCAACTAATTGAGAATTCTTTGCAACTAATTACTAATCGAGAGAAGTAGCTAAGTATTATTCTATTAATTTTTTTGAATATTAGTTTTATGCCAAATGGTGCCTTTTTTTGCAAACTTTTTTTTTCGTGTTGATAAAAATCGCCATAGTATACACATTAGGGTATTCCTAATTTGTATTTAAGTAAAGAAGGAACTGAAAAAGCTATCGAAATATGTGGAATCACTTAGGAGGATAATATGAAAATATATAAACAGGTTTGATTGCCTACGGAACTTCGGAAATAGCTTTTGTAATCATCGTCACTTCTTTTTTGTTTCCTGCGATAATCAAAAGTTGGACATAGATAACATTTTTTTTCTTTCTTGCTTAAATATTTTTAATCAATTCCTAATGTGTACTTTATACAATAAAACCTCTCGGGAACGACCACTTTCCCTTCCACAGTAAAATAGTCGTTGATGGAGGTTCTTAAAAGTTACCTCCATTGACTTCAATATTGTTATCGAAAGTACAAGATTCCCCCTGAACAATTGTAATTTTAGTCAGTGTCATTTTCTTTGTACGAAAATGCCACTTCTGTTGGCGTCTTGAAAAGTCGGATCTATAAATAAAATTTAGCGTCTATAAAAATGATGTGGTCGCTATTTAGAGGTTGTCTTTTTTGGAGGATTCAGTTTTCTTTTCTTTGTTACAAAGATTCTAAAAACACATTCTAAAGATGGTCATAACAGAAACTATGTTTTTGCATTATTTCACATGTCTCATATTTTTACACTGAATTTTCAATAATCCCCACCGTTGATACGCATGTTTAGAACCCTTGCCAAAATAGAAATTAAAAAATTAAAGATTACGGACAGATAAAATTTTGATTTTAATAATCAAAAAAATCAAAAATAACATAAAAGTGACCAAAAAAGATAATTAAATCAAAGCGTGATGAATAATTAAAAAGAAAGATACGATGAAAAAACATTAAACACACGTAGTTGAGAATAGGTGAAAGCCAATAATCAAAATCAATTGTAATTTTTATCAGGCCCTTGGTAAACACTTAGTCATTGAGCTCTAATTTCGCCCAAAAAATCAAGTTTTGGGTGAAAATTAGACTAATTCTTTGCAAAGTGGTGGTTTCACATCTTCTTAGCGTTACGTGTTAATAATATTTTTTGCTAGAGTCATTCGGTAAAAACGTCGTAATTTTGTTTGAAATGCCAAAAAAATATCACTAGAGGGACTTCATTGGTTATTGTTCTTTCAACAAGCATATCGAATCGTATAAAGTACCATAAAGTACCGGGTTCGATTTCCATCTCCACCATATTTGTGCCATACTGTCATTTTTCCATCGCAACTTTGATTCTCAACAGAGGGGATGGTTCCCCTGATTCCGTAGCATGATGACTTGAGCACGAAGTCGAACACTTTACGGTTGAAGAGTTTAACGAGAAGCGGCACCGTGCAAACCCACTCGATCCCTACGCAGGCAGATCAAAGTGGTCACCCACCCACTCATTGACCGCAACCAATTCGGTGTTCTACTGAGAATCACGTCTATACGATCAGTCTACTGCGGGATTTGCGGGGAAAAGCGGATTTCAGAGTTAGTCTTTTATATGAAAGTCTTGCAGAATTTGTGGTTGAATGTTATTCGTTTTTGCAACTCTTCGGAAGAATCGAACTGTATAATCTTCTATGCATCAATCACACACGTTTATAAANTAGACCAATTGCCGCATATATACTAAAAGAAAACACCACTTTTAAAATATATCCTGTGATATACATAACAAACTGTGAATCTAAAAGAACATTTTAAGAACCTAAATCTCAGAATAAAAAGAAACGAAAAGAATGGTGTGAACATGTTAAAAGAAGGGCATAATAATTAGCCCTTTTTATCAATTGAACAAAGAATGATAAAATATCTTTCTTTTGACGCTTATGATTTTTTTATTAATGTGAAACTCCTTTAATAATTCAAAACAATACAATACGATACACAGAAAAAACAGAAGAAGTAACTTGAATAAGTCAGTTTTGGATATTCATGTCTATGTCAATGACTTCAGAAATTAATTTATATATTATGGCAAATAATAATAAAATAAACATCGACACATTAAAAGAAAACACAAATGAGAGAATATTCAAAACTAAAATTCAAATACTGAAGGGTGGCGAGCAGAAATGCCAGGTTTGAAGCAAGTTAAACCAGTCATAAAAACTGAAAAATGTAACTATGAAAAAAGATATGATATACGTTTATAAATTTATAGGAGTCATAGAATTACTATGATAAATATACTTTATGTATAGTTATGATAACATGATGTAATAAAAGACTCATTTAAAATTATTTACCAATTTGCATTTGATTTTCACCAGCGAGTAAATTAAAAAATTTTTACGTTAAATCCTGAAAATCTTGCGAAAAATGCTCATTTTATACTTGGGTATGAAATAAATTTGGCTAGATCTTTTCATGCTAGTTGTGTCTCTTTTGTTACAAGCGTTTGATTTTGTGATAAGATGTAGATAAAACAGAGCAAATAAAACAGAATGGGAAAGAAGTAGATTGAAAGTCATAGAGGAACACTGTAAAAGGCATGACACCAAAGATAACTAAACATATCTTTACGGAAAGAAGTAGATGGAAAAATTATAGAGATTGAACAAGGACTGCGAAAAAAATTTTAAAAACGTATGTTTGGCGCAGCATATCCTTCTTAGGACTTTGTGCCATTAAACCCTACATTCAATCAATCAATCAAATAAATAAAAATACAGATTAAGCAGAGCGTTGATCCAAAATTACGAGTTTTTGAAGTCAATATTGACGAGTGGAGGCCAGTGCTTTATCTAGACTTTTATTTTATATTAGGTTCGATGTATTCTGTATATTAAAATATGACACACAAAGAATGTAACTTAATAATGGCATATTTTAACTAATATATTAAATGCACATTATAATTTCCTTCCGAAACTTCCTTTAGATATAAAATCAATATAAAAATTACTCGATACAATAAGTATCAGTAATATTTACTCATATAGAATTATTTCATATGTGAGAAATTTTTATTCTCTAGAAAAGTTTTATGCTCATAATTTTTATATTGAGTTTTATTTACCGAGTTTTTTGTCAAATCTTTAGTAATAATTCAATTTTTATCCTAAAGAATAACATTTTTCTTTGCTGATTAAAGCAACAAAAAAGAAACTGAATGAATCAAAAGTAAATTACGAATATGGACTTTCTATAGTTTCAGTTTTCTAAACAAAATCCTTCCTTAGTGTCTAATGACAGGAAGAAGTAAAGAGACGATCACGTACGAAGTGGTTTCCCTACAAAAACTGAGGAGCAAGATAGATAAAAAGGAAGAAAAGCTTTAATAAACATGTGAGAGGGGTTCAATAGGGAACCCAAGAGTGCCGAAAATAAAGTAAGGATAAATTTCCAAATTGTTAAAAAGTGCGAGATACTAAAAAGATGATTAACTAAATTTTTAGAATTATTCAAAATGTGGAAAGATTTCTAGAAATAAAGGTTGGTAGATGAAGGAGCAGTGTGGAATAATTTTAACAACAAAAAACTCTAACCTATGATTAGACTTCCAGCTGACTGGAATAAATTACTGGAATAAAAGATTCTTTACTGTCCCGATTTTGTCACATTTTTCATGTTCTTTACGTCAAAATTTAAGGGCATTATGCATAATTATGATTATACGCAAGATTACACTGAGAAAAAATTAGATAAATATCGTAACTATAATATTAATACGGCCTAGAAAACAACTTTAAATTAAAATTTACTCAAAATCTTAGAAATTCGGTGACTGATTTTTGGATAAAGTAAAACCATCGACTTCATAAAGTTTAAATTAAACAGTTTATTGAATGGCGGGATTTATGTTCTGTAAATTGAATCTATAA